AATTGTCTAGGATCCTATTCACAAGGTGCTCGCTCATCTCCAATCCTACTGCACCTTGTTGGTAAAAAACGTGAACCAACACTATGGCCAGTAATACAGTTTATTTCCCCTCTTGTCCACCTTATGGGAGTAAGAAAGGGTTCAGATTCACTCTGCCTCTGGCCCCTCTTTTTTGAGCAAGATGCGGCCCATCTTTAATTACCCCCAAGTCTCTTTTTGGTACCTCTGGTTCCTTCACATGTAGCAATTCTCCTAGATACTTGATGCTAAAGAAACTGGCAAGTGGTGCCAACACTGGAAAGCTATCTTGTTCCACCAGTCCTTCAGATGTAATTTGGAACAAGAGTTGGCGAAAAGCACTTGCCGAGATGATCATGCACATCAAAGTAAAGAGTCTGATCCATCCAATGTGTTGGCCACCATAATCTTTTTTTTTTTAACCAACTCACAACAGTAGTAGTGTTTACTGTTAGTTTGATGATCTTGGCTAAAATTGGCGAATATATATTTACAATAACCTCCTTTTGGCACAAAAATATGCACAGACATTATTTGTTCTGATTTCCGAGAGCGTAGCTCGAGGAAAACTGTGAGCTTTGAGGAACAGATAATGTCCAAGGGCAAATGTCCTAGCACATTTTTGCACCAAATGGAGGCTATTGTGTTTATTATCCTTCATATCTTTTTTGCAGCAAACGCAGTTTTGAAAATTGGGGAACATTCTCAGATATTCCCCAACTGGGGAATTTTGTTAACATTTTGTTAACAAGGGCACACTGTTACGCTGCTCACTATCTATCACAGAATAGATAGTGAGTAGCGTAACCAATCAGAGAGCGGCATTCATGATAGAACGCTAGTAGATTTATACTAATGGCTGATATATGATAGAAGTGACTGATGCAATATTTGTGACATGTACATGTAAGTGCATTAAAGCAGCAGGTCTGAAATGGGGGTGAGGGGTGAGAGGTGGAGGGGTGAGGGGTGTTTCCATTATATTTTTTGAGAGCCAACCATACACAGCTAACTGGAGTGCTGTTCAGGCCTCTCGGGCTCCCCCCACCCCGCAACTCCTTTGTTTTAAACCGTCTGTGCAAACTTATCTGAGCTTAACTATGTTCAACATTTATTTTCATCTTTTTCGTAATTAATTTAATTCCTACAGGGCGTCCTAAAGATCGAGCAGCTTAATTATCCTGTATTCCAAAAAGAACCAATGATCAATCCGCTGTTAGCTTTGCAAGCTTACCTCTTTGAAATGTACAGCTTTCAGTATGTTGAGGAGATTCTTCGCGTTGTCCAACTTGGCTACGAGAATGTAACGACTGTCATCGCCACTTTGTTGTGTGAGCCTAGACATTTTATCCAGAATAAAACGTTTCCAAAATGAAATCTTTGAAAACCCCGCGAACGTCAGCCATTTTGTCATGAAGTGTGCGTGGAAACTGGAACTAGTACCTTTGTAGCCACGCTTTGAGCAGAACAGCTTAGCAGCCTTTCCCGCCAAGAAGGCAAAATGGCGGATTTTTCTCGTCTCTGCTCGCAAAGTTTTATGCTTAAAAATGACCCCGCTATTTAACTGTAAGGGGCTTTGAAGGTGTTCTTGCCATTAATAGCGTTAATATTTAATCAAATGGTACCTGAATATCACTGCAGATAAATTGACTATGGTATGTTTATTGTTGTTTAATATTGTTTATTAAGTTGTACTAGAGCGTTCACGGTCAGTTCCTAAGCATTTCCAGTATGAGGCTCTAACAGTTTGCTGCTGATGTTTTCTAAGATTCGTCTGTGTGCTTTGAATGATGATTCAAGTGAGGAAAGTGACCATGAACCCACTCAGGAGAGTGTCAAACAAGC